AATGTAAACAGATTATTGCACTGCAGAAGACCATATGAGTTTATGGTTTAGGGCCAAACATGGATGGCAGAGAGAAACAGGACTGCTTAAAAATTGGAGACTGAACTATTCTCAGAGGATTGAAAGATGGTCAAATTTGCATGTTAATTAAGCCTTGGTTTGGCCCCTATTTTTTTCCATTACATTACATTAATTTTCCCTCTCTTCATTTCAACCACACATTCATCAAATAAAATAATATTACACACAAATCTAAAATTTTTCATTACTTTTCTACCACACATTCTCCCATCAATCACTATTCCAAAAATTTTCAACTCCCCAAAATGGGGGCCAAACAGGGGTTTAATTCAACTATTATAACATTTCCACATCATCGATCTNCTCCCGTTTGGCCCCTATTTTTTTCCATTACATTACATTAATTTTTTCTCTCTTCATTTCAACCACACATTCATCAAATAAAATAATATTACACACAAATCTAAAATTTTTCATTACTTTTCTACCACACATTCTCCCATCAATCACTATTCCAAAAATTTTCAACACCCCAAAATGGGGGCCAAACAGGGGCTAAGAATTCTTCCTAGATGACTGAAACTGCATTCTAAAGTTCAATTCAGAATGAAGGAAAACATAAGCACGTGCAATATACATATTTGTCATTACAAAAACTCCCAGTAACAACATTGCTTCAGATTGTCAAGTCAAACACGTATTGGGAGTGGTAAAGTAATGTACCTTCAACTTAAAGTCATCCTCATCCTTAATCACATGCGGATAGATAGAAGGTATAACTGTGAAAAATCTGTTGCTAGCATCAACGAGCAGACTCTCTTTGACAGAAGGAGCATGAGTTGTGCTATTTATCAAATTTTGTATCTGTGTTAAAGCCTCGAAACCTGAAGAAGACAACGAAAATAACATTAGAAGTTATCTCAAAATTGCTTGGTTACTTAAGATCATCAGGCAAAAATAACTGTCAAACAGATTGTCTACCCAGGTCATTTCAGAACAAAACACGATAAGTTAGTCAAACACACCTTTTTGGATGTTACTTTTGCTTAGTTTTCCTAGAGGCATTTCTGACAAATTTATCTCAAATTCCATCATTGCAGCCCTGTAAACAATTCCGCTCATCCATCCATTCTATAAAAAAAAGAACAACAAAGTATTTCATCAAATGGTATATTCTTTTTACCTGTATGTCTCCACGTTGAAGAGCATCTTCATTAATTCCACCAGCTGCGATGCAAGTTGACTACTTGTGTAATCAAGCTCTTTCTTCCTAGACACATCTTTATTAACCCCATAATCCTAAAAACAAAACACCTACCAATCAGGAAGACATAAAATCTAAAACTCAAAATGAAGGGCTTAATCTATAAAAATGTAAGAAAAATCACGAGCAAAGGGAATAGAAAATGAGCAATACAATGTCCAATGGATAGAATCTGCCAGGTTGCTTCTGAAAGTTTTTCTTTTCTTCCCATGCCTCCCATGTGTTCCCAGTCTTCTCAAGAAACAAACGCTTGAATTCTTGTATAGCGTCTGATTTAGACATTTCCTCTAACTTGTTTCCTCCAATTTTTTCATTTCCCACTCGTCCCCATTTCCGGAAGACGTAACAATCAGAGCTTTTGTCATCTTGTATGATTTGAAGAATGTAGTAACTTCAAAAAGTAAAAGACACATTATTTATGTGGAATTACTAAGAGGAAGTAAGTATTACAAGTAAATGAAGTAGCTCATACTAGAAGAAAAAATACCTCCGCAATCCAACGAAAAAGGTTACAATTTGGATAAAACTGTGTAAACCCAAAACTAGTTACATTTAGGACATGCGCATAACCTAGTGATCACAGACTCATTAGTTTATTCTCTTTTTTTCATTTTTTTTCCCTTTCTTTTTCTCCTTTGAGTGCTATGAAGGTTTTTAAATGTGGTGCAAGAAAGGCCACAAGCACACCTGTAAGCTTGTGCATTAGCTATGAAATACTAAAAAAAGGAGTTACATGCTGGATGAAATTTATTCTCCAGTATCACCACAAAGTAGTATTCCATCAGGAGTGATTGTATTCACTAGCATCGCCACGAATTTCATACTCAAAATGGCAGAACAATGGCAGTGATTAACTGGATAATTTAGACCCAGAATGCATAAAAACGAATTTCTTTAACTTGTCCCTTCGCCACCCTTCCTGTCAAAATTGAAAAGTATAAAATCTCCCAGGTTTAGACACTCCCATCTTTTTTGTGTCTCATTTTTCTCAAAACAAAGAAATGATGGATAGAAAAGAAGTAACCTTTCTTCAAGTTACCTTTTCAACATGTACAACCTTCAACAAATTGATAGAGTGCTATATATGATTGAGTAACTACCGATTTGCATAATAAGTAGATCGATAAGTTTTAAACATAAAAGACATCTACACAGGAAAATATAAATTAAAAAGCAGAGGTTTGAGATGATGGAAAAAGTACTTGATATAAGTGGTGCTAATTAAATTACTTCAGAAAAGGAACAATTAGACAAGAACTCACCTATTAACACCAGTTGACAAGTCAGACATATTCAAAGTTGTATTGTAAATGCTTTTCCTATCCTCAAGAATATGTCCGCAATCTTGCAAGCCAGATAATTCATGCACAGCACTCCGCCCTTTCACCTTGACAGTAACCGTACTATGTTTCTCAAGGGATTCTATTTTGTACGGGTCAAAAGGGAGTTTTTTCTGTCTTTTAATGCAATCGACCAAATAATCTTCCCTCACAATAGGTAACTTCATCCTCCTGTCACGATGTAATCATTCCCGGTTAAGGGAAAAGACAAAAGGAAAGAAAGAGACTAATGGAAAGTATGTTATGTTCTTGGCAAGAAATAATCTAGCATTACCTTGCTTTTCTTATCTCAGTATCATGGTCATTCAATGCACCACTTACAACTAAGCAATTGGTTTCTGTAATATTCACATGAAGTAAGAGAACAGAAAATTATGAATTACAAAAGAAATGAGACCAATATCTGGACTTCAAAGTTTAGCACATAGACCGTGCACCTTTTTTGATCTTGGCGTGAACCTGTCCACCCGCTTCCTCAATTTTTCTCTTCCATTCCACCTGAAAAACCTCCATTATTAGGAAAATTTCTACATTGAACCCTAGAGCAAAGATTAGAAGTTTACAAAAAGCTCAAAACAATTACTATATTTAAAATAACAGAAGTAATATATGAAAAGTCATACTATGGATTCATTAGGAGCTCCAGAAATGGCAACTTTTAAATCTCCAATATTTTCAACCTTTGAGGACGGGCCCAGTCCCTTAACAGCTTGACTGCCTGATGTGCATGGTGAAGATGGAGGCAATACTCTTGCTGGTTTTTTTGCCTTCTGTGACTTGAACCACTGTGAACACCAATTGAACTATGATGTCAAATTCTAGACCCGACAAGTAGCATAAAATTAACATGGACGATATAATTTCATGATGAAAGAATATTTCTTCTTAACTTGTATACCTTAAGAAGATATTCATTGCTTGTATTTTTGGGGATTTTCCACTTTCCCTTAGCACGTTGTGGTTCAGCAGTAGAGTACGAACACTTGCTCCACTCTGATAAATATCCGCAACATCTGTACATGCCCAAGGTATAACGAAGACATCCAGAACATAATTGGCATCTTGCAAGTGCTCCAAAGAGCATTCCATCGGCACTAAATAAAACATAAAGAGAAAAAAAGAGAAAATCAAATTAAATATGATTTGAAAAATTTTAGTATCAAAGCAAGCATACTAAAAAAAGAATTATCATATTAGCAGACTCATAACTGGGGATACAGTAAAAAATAGAATACAAAAATTATATGTGGTGACAGAGTAAACCAGGTTTGTGATGGTATCAAAAATTCATGTCTTCAAACTTTTCAGAAATTCAAGCGTACAAACCATAAATTATTCGAGAAGAAAAAAGAATATTGCATTTAATCCTCACCATCAGAGGAGGTGTAGCAATTTTATGTTGTTTGACAAACTAAAAACTGGCTGATGTGAGCTGACTCATTGGTATTCAGAATAAGGTTTATATGCTGTAATAAACTAAAAACTGGTATCGTAATACTTCACATTATATTTCCTGAACTCTGGAAATCTTACCACCGCTCTCGCAAATCAAGTTCTGATCCTTTTGAATCTTGATTATTTTCTTCAAGCATCTCTCGTAACTCTGATGTTGCCACATGCTTTTTGAGATCATCTTTCAGGGCCCATAACATCCTTGTCTGCATCTCCAGTTGGCTTTCAAGGTCCGATGCTTTAGAGTTTTCGTCTTTACTTTCAGAAACTGTCTGGCTCGTACAAGCATGCACTCCAGCTTTAGAAAGCTTTGATTTCGGGTCACTTTCAGTGGTTCTTTTCCTCTTGGCCCCACCTTTGGACGTTGATTCTTGTAAGAGTTCTCTCTCCTCTTTTTGCTCAACTTTTGTGACTGAAAAGTAAAGGTGGTTCATCATGACAGAGCCCAAAGAAATCCTTGTGCAATTTATTAAAACTAAATTGGTTCTTCAACCTTTTGATGTGGAAGGATTCTTCCCAACGAAAGAAAGAAGTGTTGCCTGGTCAGGGGTAGGAAGACTGCCCCATCCGTAAAATTTCTCTACTTCGGAAGTTGGAAAAGTTTTCATGAAACAATTTGCATGGTGCCATGCCAAGGATCTGGCACCTTGACCCTCCGGCTTGGTTGATATGCGAATCTACATAAAAATGGTTAACGGACAAGAAGAATTTGATAGGATTTTAACTGGAGTGAAGGCATTCATGTAGATGGTCAACATACCAAAAGAAGCACAAAAAGCTTCAAAACAGTGGACAAGAACTAACAGTGTCTTTAACCAATTATATAAGGCACCCATATAGTCAAGAACGCTACCGTTGTCGAATGCCAAAATCATCTTTATATTATTAAGTGAACTTGCAACATACAAAAACCTACCTCACCCTTCATGATCTTTTGGTTGCAGCTCCGACAAGCAGCACGAGATGTTTGCGAAACTTCAACACCGCATTCCATAACAGCAGGTGAAGTGGAATTCGTCTGTGCACCATCTTCTACGTATTTTCTAATCCTCTGCTGATCTTCCCAACGAAGCGTTTCTAAACCTTCAACATCATCAACCCTAAAAAGTGCAACAGCATTATACATAGATCAGCAACCAGTTAAAATAAAAAATAAAAATCAGCAACCAGCTACAAAGTATTTTATCCCTTTAAATCCAAGAAAGATTGAATTTAACAGAAACATATGAGAATACATACGACTTAATCTGATTTGATTTCCTTAAGATGCAGTCAGCATGGTTCCACATCTGATTCCAGAAAAAAAAACTTAAGTTAGGAGGTAGTAACACAACAAACAAAATACCACAAATAAGTGAAGAACACCGCACTAGATGTACATACAATTATCTTCAGGAATACTGGTTGATAGCTATTTTTTATTCAATTGAGAGTAACAGTATCAAGGAATAGTTTTATACCAATCGTAAATGAGAGGTCAATTCTACATCAGAAGTCATTTTCTGTCAAAACCCATCAAGATAAAATTTGTAAAAACTAGATCTCCAGAGACCTGTATGCTAAAATTAATCTAGTGGAGGAAATAAACAAAAAAACTTCTGATAAAGTACATTAGAGAGCTAGTGATTCTCAACGCATTAAAGAAAGATTATAATTGTTTTTGCACTATACTTTAAAATTTTGCTCCGCGAAAAAGGAAAAGGAAAGAAAGAAGAAAACATCTAATGCCACTATATACCCAGAATATAATATTTTCAGTCATAAACACTAATTGAGTAAAAAGAAGCTATGAATTTCAAAACAAATAGCAATCTTCAAGAGTTCAGTTATTGTTCAGGGAAACCAAACATTACAATTGAACCCCAATTTCATCTAATGGAGAAATCTATTAAAAAAATCAACATAATCTGCAAAATAAAGAAAGCCTGTCCACTTAAAAGTAACAGAGGTGAGGTGTGAAGTGCTGTAAAAGCACGTGGGGCTACCCACAGTAAGTTGTATCAACAAACCAAGTAATTGAACACGGAGGGGCTGCAATAGGCATGAAAATTTGATTGATGCAAGCCTCATTTTGTTCAGTAGAGAATATTTACTTAAAATTAAAGTGAACAAAAAGGGATGAGTGTTGAGCTAGTTTGGGAAAACTGAAAGAATGATAGAAATAACCTACATTACGCAATTTCCGAAAAAAAGGGGTACAACATGAATTGAGGAGAAAAGGACACGAAGAAAACTTGAAGTTAAACATAAACAAGAATGCACCCAAGACAGTAAGTAAAAATGCAGTGTCAATGGACTGAAAATAAAAGGAACATACTTGGGAGGCGAAATTGAGTACATTTTAAATAACAATTGAAGCAGTTAACAGAAACTATAAAACAACAAAGAAAATTTGATGGGTTTGTCAAGAAATGCTAAAAATTACATAAATTAGAGAGTAAAATAGGAGAAGAAAGCCGAAGGTATTTACAGGCATGAACCCATCAAATTGGGTGGCTTGAACCATCTTGCCAAGTCTGAGTTTCTCCTTGTCAATGGTTTTCTTGCAAGTCTTGCACGATGATCTTGACGACTTCGCATACTCTACTTTCCATGGCTTTGGAGGGTTTGCCATTCTCCCCCTTTTTCTTCTTCTCTTCTGGGAAAAAAGTGAGTGTAATATGAATATTCGCCTTTTCTGTTTACCTTTATATAGAAACAGTGCGTTCAATTTGGTGAGTGCGGATGGGCTTGCAAGTTGCAACCGTGCAAGGGAATCAGAGTACAGTGGAAGGAAGAATTTTATTTCAAGCGCAGTATACGCATTTGTATAATTGTTTCGTCTGATTTTGGGCAATACCGTATGAACCTGTATATATGAATTTTGGTTTTTTTTTTATTAAATATATGAATTTTGGTTTTTTTTTTTTTTTTTTTGTCTCTGAGAATCCACAAATTTTGCGCCTGTTCGATTCCACTTTAGAATCACCTTTTAAGCAAAAATTGATTCTTCAATCAGACCTGTTTGGTTATGATAAAAATCAAATTTTTAACGATTTTTAATAAAAACTGATGAAATTTTATTGATAATTGAAAAGTTGTGAATCTCGTCAAATCGTTGATTGAACCCTATTTTTAGGTCAAAATGCATTTTTAATAGTATTTTATTGAAAAATATATAGTTAAAAAATAAAATAAATTTTTTTAGATTTACGTGTAAAATTATTTTATGGAATAATGTGTGGTTGAAAATGAATTTTAAAAAAACAGAGCTTTTGGAAAAATAGGAGCCAAATATAGGTCAAATATGTTGTTAAGATTAATATAAATTAATTAAATTTTAAGTTGATCAAAACAGCGGCTTTAAAATATACAAAGAAATGAGGCTGTACTCCACTAAGAGCATCTCGAAGACTCGAACTCATCCTCATTGCACCAATTTTTGGTGCAAATGAATAGTCCACCACCACCACCACTATTATCATTATTATGTGTAATTGCAATAAATTTTAATCATTTAATCAATAATAATTAATTTTGAATACTATTCCGACTTTGTAATACCATGATATTGCGATTCGAAACGTATTAAACACTTTTTAATATTATGATTTAATATTTTCTTAATTGTTGTGATTCTATTAATTGTACTATATTTTTTTTTAAATGTATTAATGAATTCAATTTTTTTGTTAACTAAACATAATTGATTATTTAATAATTTATGTAGTAAAAAAATAATAATAATTTATGAGATAAATAAATAGTTAAGAATTAAAAAAATGAAGAAAATTATTAAATACAATTCATTTGGTGCAACTTTTAGTGTGCATTTGATTGTAAGGGTGGAAAATGGGTGGAAAGAAAATGTTTTACAGGAAAAAGATTTGCCTA